AAGGTGAAGCATATCTAGAAGAAATATTATCCAATAATCAACCACTACTATTTAAGGCTGCGTTTGCATCGCATCTGCTTCGTCACGGTGAACTCTTCTGTTGCGACTTAGATGTCCTCGATCAGCCAAACAACCTTGAACTAGGTCCGAGCCTGCCAGCGACATTCTACTCGTATGATTACCGGGTTGTCAGGGCAACACCTGCTTAGGCGATGTTTTCTCCTAATTCAACCTCCCTCTAAACAGGGTGTAGGTGATTGCCTTTGAAAACTTTCATCTTGAAATTGAAGCATTGTTTTCCTGGATGAAATTTGAGCAAGGCAAAGACAGTGAGACTTGCAGGACTTAATGACTTCATAGAATTTTCTAACCTCTTGTTCAACTGCCTACGGACTTTGCCGATAAGACGAAATAATTACAGTCTAATTACATAACGGCCTAGAAGGTTGCAACTTGACATCTAAATAAAGCATGAGTTGTTGGTTCGGGATGCGGGTGTACGGGAAGAGAAGTGGGAGGGGTGGGGGGCAGTTATCGTAGCAAGCCAGTTCAGGTTACCGTGACAACCTCTCAGGTGTGATGAAAAGCGCTGAGGGCAGAGCAACAACCGGTCATGTGGGGAAAGGAAGGAAGGGTCGGGGGAGAAGGAATGGGCTTATGCCCTTCACCGATTCTTAGCGCGGCAATGCAAGGTTGATCACGTGATCCAGCTGTTCTCTTGTTTCTTCTCAAAACATAAAAGGCGCCCAGTCGTTACTCGAAGCGCGATCTTAAATCAACTCTTTGAGTCTACCGTATGGCTAGTCATCACCAAGTGCTTTGTGATTGACATCTTGGGTATCTTATTTTTCGCCTTAAACAGCCAATTCGGCTTATGTTCCGCCGCCCGAGTTGCCAACTGCATTTGCGTGCGCCCAACGCATTTGCACCTCCCACTAAATATAAACTCATAAAGGCAATTTGATATGCGGTGCATAGGCAGCGTGTTTTTAGTTAGGCTAATTGAAATAGCCGTTGTTGTGCGTATGAATAAGAACTCAGGGGTGGCGTACTTTCGTTAAATCGTGCATCGAAGTCGTGGCTTGATCACATTGGAAACATTATCGCCCTTGAAAAGGGGGGAAGATACTCACCGGCCTTCTTGGCGCGGATATTTCGGGAGGGTCTGCTTGTCTGTGGAGGCGATACTTATCGATGAATTTCTCGGCATACCCGTTTCCAGGAAACACTTTCTCCAGGATACTGATTCCTTCATCGATCGTATCTGAAGAACGGATTGTAGTGGCTCCGGTGAAGAGGCATAAAACCACGTTGTTTGCTCTGGATCGGAAAGAAACTCGAAAGTTGCATGCACTATCTATTCCAGGTGGTTTTCCGACCTTACAGACCTGAGAAAAACGGAGTTTATCTACTACCAATCAATGTACGGGGAGCTGAAGTCAAGGAAAAGAAGAAACCGATCTATGCAAACGTTTTTCTTCACTACCTCTTATCTACAGTATGTGGTGCAACTCATGAAATGTGCGTAAACTTTCGAAAAGTCTCTTATCAATCGCAAAGCGCTACCAGTACATCGATTACAAATGTACATTTCACAATTAACGACTGTCAGCTCATTTTCAAGTATTATTACGTTGACTAGAAATAAAAAAATGTTCTTATCAAAAGCCGAGATGCCGAAAACTATTATGCTTATTTGTCCTTTGGCGTTGTAAGCGAGAAGCCCAGCGACGGGCATCCTGCTCCGAAAAAAGGGAGTGTCGGCCTTCTCTTTCCATGTAGGTATAGTATGTACTGAAATATGGCTGCTTTTATCAACTAGCTTTGATATACATCTTGCTTTAGTTAAATAACCTTTGTGCATTTCATAAGATACCTGATCGCTTGTTAATTTATCTAGGATACTAGGTCATACGACAGCCGCGTCCACTGATCCAACCTACTTTTCTGTCTGAATGCTGACCTTTCATTCCGCCTCGAAGTTACCTTTTAGAGTCCTCACAGTCCGTTGTCTAAGGGTGAGTAGTCAGTAGTTACGATGAATAATTGCTAAAGACAAATTGATTGCCAATAGAGGAGAATATACGAGTTCCAGGTAGCAGTTCCGAAGAAGA